GTGGGTGTGGGTGTGGGTGTGGGTGGGTAGGTGAGGATTGGTGGAGATGGGCAATAGAGCGGGAAAGGTTGAAAAAGAGTTTTGAAAAATGTTTTTTCTTCTCTTGATAGGGAAAATATTTATCTCCAATTGGAGAAAAATGAGTTCATTAGGAAAATATTTTCCAAAACATTTAATCAAATCAAACATTGAAAAATTAGAAAATATTTTGTGGAAAATATTTTCCTTCATACCAAACACACCCATAATCTTTGTGTATAGGGGTGGAACCAAGCCCTTTGGACGCCTCGGTTCCCGATGAAGTAAATAGAGCAGAGATGTGACTGTAAGGAACTAAAATCGGGGCAAGGATCCCCTCGAGTCGGGGTCCGGGAAAAACACCTGCTCTCGGAAGAATTGGGGCCGCGTCCCCTAGGTCCCATTCGAACCCCAAAACTTCGCACAACATTACCAGATAATCGAGCACGACAAACAAAAGGCCGTGATATCCGTACCTAGTCGGATGTTACGACGTGGGTCTCGGCAGAAAATCAATGATTAGTAAAATAAATTTTTTTACCTCTTTTAAAATTGTACTTAGGGTAAAACTCCCCTACAATATAAATGGGAGTTTAACTATTCATTACAGATCATTATAACACGCATATCAAGATAATATACTCTTATTTTCTATGTTATTTAAAGTTCTTACTTTTGTTCATCAGTTCTTAATTATCGTGAGCCCAAGATCGAAGGCATGCATTTCATTAAAGTTGTCACCGAGTCCGGGACCTCTCCCCTTTAGTGGTTTGACAATTTATTACGCCTTTTATCTGTTTAATCTAACGTAAATTATCATTTGTATTAATTTAATCCGCGTATCCTTAAAATCACATATAAATTTAATTGTTATCCGTTTTTGAGGGTAAACAGTTTGGCGCCCACGGTGGGACTGAGGATAATAGTGGCAATTTAATACAAATTTCCATAACACACTCTATTTTACACTTGTTCTTTGAGCTCCTAATTTCAGGTCAAATTAAAACTGTCAAATTCCCAATTTGCCCGTTTGAACGTTGATGTTGAATCCAACCACCATTGCGAGAACAACAATGTGGTGCCCAGTGAGAACAACATGCTAACTCACATGTGGCTATCAAAGCAAACTTGCCAACCGACTCGAAAACAACATTCGCGGGGGAGCCCGTAGTACACATGACATCGAAGGTGATGGGATCAACTTGCGGGTAATCTTTGAAATGTTACAGGCTCAACAAGCAGCGATAGCCCAGTTGCAGAACCAGAGCCGCACCCCATGCATAGTTGAGCCCGAACCGTCCCGAAAAAACACTCGCAAAAAAGAACCAGTCACAGAAAAACCGAGTGAGGATGAACCCGTGACCAATTCCGAGATAATAAAGATGCTTGACGAACTGACAAAATGGGTGGAATCGGGAGAAAATAAAATCCAAGCCAACAGGAAAAAAGTAGAGACCTATAACTCCAAGGTCGATCAAATACCAGGAGCACCACCGATACTGAAAGGCCTGGATTCCAAAAAGTTTGTCGAAAAGCCTTTCCCTCCAATTGCAGCTCCGAAGTCGATCCCGAAGAAGTTCTGTATGTCCGAAATTCCAAAATATAATGGAACGACTGATCCAACGAACATGTGACCTCCTACACGTGCGCCATCAAGGGGAACGACTTGAAAGATGATGAAATCGAATCCGTTTTGCTGAAAAGGTTCAGAGAGACCTTGTTAAAGGGAGCTATTATATGGTATCACACCTTACCCCCTAATTTTATTGACTCACTTGCTATGCTTACTGATGCCTTTTTAAAAGTGCACACCGGGGCTATCAAGGTCGAGACCAAGAAGTTAGACCTTTTCAAGGTGAAGCAAAGAGATAACGAGATTCTCAGGGAATTCGTGTCGAGGTTTCAAATGGAAAAGATGGATCTACCCCCAGTCGCAGACGATTGGGCCGCCCAAGGAATCAACCCCCAAAGCTCATTGGCTTCGTAGCAGTTGACCAAAATTTGATAGAATACCCGGCGGTAACTTGGGACAACATCCATAACATGTACCAATAAAATATCAGGGTCGAAGACGATCTGCTCGGGGCCCCTTACAGATCCATTTATCCCGTCAGGACTAGTGACGGATCCAAAAGAGTCGTCGATCATGAACCAAGATTGAACAGAGATCAGTATCAACCATACACTGTAGATCGAAGGAGTAATGGGTCCGGACGCAACCTTGCAAAGAGTGAAAGAAGAAGCGATCTAGGTCATCATAATCAGGGACTCATGAGCAAAAATGGTTTTGACAGACCCATCGGGTCCAAGGAAGCACCAAGGTTATCAGAGTACAACTTCAACATCGATGCTGTCGGCATCATGTCAGCCGTCGGACGAATCAAAGATACTAAGTGGCCTCAACCGTTGCAATTCGATTTTGCCCAAAGGGACCCCAACCTAATGTGTAAATATCATGTCACTCACGGCCACAGAACCGAAGACTGCTGACTATTGAGAGAAGAAGTAGCCCGATTATTCAATAACAGACACCTCCGAGAGTTTCTGAGTGATCGAGCCAAAAATCACTCCAGGAATAGGGACTCCAACAAGCAGATCGAGCAAGAGGAACCTTAGTACGTCATTAACATGATCATTGAAGGAGTTGACGTCCCCCAAAGGCCGATGTTAAAACGCACTAATGTGTCCATTACAAGGAAAAAATGGGCTCGAGATTGCGTACCGGAGGGAACCGTATCTTTCAACGACGAGGACGCTGAAGGCATCCTACAACCACACAATGATGCACCGTTAATATCTATACTCATAAATAAATCTCGAGTTAAGTGTGTGTTAATTGATCCAGGTAGCTCTGCCATTATCATCATATCGAGGGTCGTGGAACAGTTGGGTCTATAAGACCAAATAGTGTCCGCAGTTCGAGTTTTAAACGGATTTAACATGGCATGCAAAACCACGAAAGGGGAGATAACCCTGCCGGTAAACACCGCAGAAACAGTTTAGGAAACAAAGTTCTACATGATTGAAGGATATATGAGATACAATGCTCTATTTGGGAGGCCATGGATTCACAACATGAGGGCGGTACCCTCGACGCTACATCAGGCGTTGAAATTCCCTACACCAGGAGGAATCAAATAGTTTACGGGGAGCAACCAGACGCAAAAACAATGTTCGCGGTCGATGAGGTGGTCCCGATATCCGCACTCTCGACATCAAAGAACCCGAGTTTGATCACCAAGGAAGAAACCAAATAGCAATAACCGACACCAGCCCCGACCGAGCCATAAAGGCAGGAGACATGCGAGGACGACGATTATGGAGTCCCTAGGTCTTTCATAGCCCCTAACGATTTCGATGCCACCAAGTTAACGGTCGAGGAGTTGGAGCAAGTCAGATTGATCGAGCATCTGCCTGATCGTAAGGTATACCTGGGCACAGAGCTAACTCCCGAGCTCTATCAAAAAACTCATTGAATTCCTTATAACTAACGTATATTGTTTCCTTGGTCCCATCTTGACATGACAGGGATCCCATCGGAAATAACTACCCACAAGCTGAGCTTGGATCCGAAGTTTTACCCGTTTAAACAGAAGAGGAGCCTTCAGTCCGAAGTCAAGCATGCATTCATCAAAGACGAGGTATCCAAACTCCTTAAAATGGGTTTCATTCGGGAAGTTAAGTACTTGGACTGTTTAGAAAACGTA